TAACCGTTATATATTTATTAATAAAATATATAAGTAATTAAGTAATTCATAAATAAATTTAAATAAAAACCTGATTTTTGAAATTTAAAACATCTAACCTCAATTTTGAAATGTGTATAAGTAAAAGCAGGATTTATGTATACTTCCCTTAAAAAAAATGTGCCCCCCTATGTGTGTAACCTGTTCACAGGCCCCTGTACTTGTAGCATAATCCTTATTAGTTACCAGTATCCATAAGGTCGTATGTGGACCTCTTTATGTAATGTACATTCTAATTTAGCATAAAGAGAACGTACTAGGTTCAAAATCACTAATACATTTCGTACTAAAGCAATGGAGTCACGTGAACACATTACTATGCACTTTTTGTTGAGTTGTGTGTTCATATAGTATAGTTTTGTTGATACAAAAATAACAATACTTTTATACTAAATAAAATTATTTTTTCATTTATTGTATTTATTTAATTATTGAGCATGCAAATTAAAGTGCATATGATTACTTATGATAATATAAATTGGGTACTTGCGTTGAGAAGTACAGTGTGACTCAACTTATGTTTTGATCATAAAATTTATGTTATTGAATTTGCGTGAATGGTAAGTCAGTATATATAGAACGAAAGGTTCATCGTAGCTAACAAATCATCTTCACTAGAAATTAGATGTCTCCATACTGACTAGATATCCAGATAAAGTAACTAGAAAGATTGTAAGAACCGCATTTTTAGAACACATTGACAACCATTATTGTAAAAGAAAAGAGTTTTGAATAGTGATTTTTAGAAGAATGTTTGGTGTAAAAAGTATGGAAATTTTTTTGGTATGCGTGTAGAATATTTTATTGTTAGAATGTGTGGTTGAAAATGGTCTTGTCACAAACTATAAAATAAAATAATGAATGTCAAAAAGACAGTTAATCACGCATTCTCCATTTTTTTTTGCAAAAAATGGAGCTCAAACGGAAGCTTCTCCAACCCAAATTTCTGCAAACAATTTCCGAGAACAAACTCTTAAAAGGTTTTTTTCTCCTTTTAATTTTACTATTATTATGTCATGAATCTGTCCAGTAAAAAAAGAATTATTCCATACGTACATAATGCAGTTCACAGAAAATTACCAGAAATCTCACATGGGAGGTGGGTCCCACAAGAATAAAATATTGCAAAAAAATTGACCACCCCCTGCTGTTGTGAGTGTTCTGTATTGTTTCTGTTGCCTCCATTTCTGTAAGTGTAGCTTTGCTCGTAAAAAAAAACAAAAACGTTGTTATTCTTGTCATTTCTGCATTTAGTGGGGTATTTTAATAATGGTTCTACCAAGAAAGAAAAATAAAATGAGTACATGAATCTTACATGTTCTGTGGTTGTTAGAGCACGAAACAGATTTAGATCTTGAGACGCGTACAAAGTTTTTTAAAGTCAATATTGTATCAACAAATTCTACAACTAAATTTAAGTTCTAATGCAATTTCAAGACTCGCGTTAAATGTTTTAAAAGAATTTATTAGTCTTCCGCCTTCACAAGTTTGACGTCACATCCGAGATGGACTTTAATTTGTTTAACCGTAATCGGCACGTAAAAGGAGGTCACGAGGGAGATAATGAATGGGAACTATTACTCTAAAGGAAAATGATAGTTATACATCATGCCATACAGTATGGTGTGAGGGGGCCCACCATGAATAAAAAATTTGTGGGTCCCCTCTATATGAGGGGAGTGTACACCATGGTGTACATGTAGCATAGTTCTACTCTGAATAATTAAAGAAAAACATTTTTTGTTTTAATAAAAGCAATAGCATAGATAACTTTTACGATAATTTAATAATACTAAAAAAACAAGATATTTTGTAAGAATCCCAAGAATGCGAGGATTAGAAAAATAGTTTGAAAATCACTTTTCATTCCTCAAAAAACTTGATTAGATAATTATCGGATCGAAAAAATTCTAAATATTACAACTGCTAACGACTTAGACTCTAATTTTGGTAAAATAATAAATGGTTTGTGATAGAGGTGAACACGATTTGATTTGGAAGATTTTTGAATTAATTTCAAAACTAACATATTTTAAATGGTTTGAAAAAATTCTCAAGCAAACCAAACAAAACCATTTTTTTTTTTAATTTTAAACTACGGTTTTAAAATATAAAAATAAAATTTCTCAAAAATGTTAAAAACTAAATATATTGGTATGAAAATACACTATAACTCTTAAATTAAAACCTTCAAAATATAAACATTACGATAATAATATATTAGTCTCAATACAAGAATATATTTTATATATTTTTTTAAAAAAATGGGTGAACGGTTCAATTTTATTTCAGGCGAAACATTTCCAAATGGCTCGGTTTGATTCAATTTTGAAGCGATTAAAACTTAAACAATGTGGAACGAAACGAAACCCAACGTTTCTAAATTACGGTTTGGTGCATTTTTTTGTTCTTCCCTAATTTATAGGGCATATTGATTTCTGAATAAGTTTTAGAAAAGGTAAAATTACTTTTATAGAAAGTAAATTTTTTTATCTAAAGATTCTCAAGAATTTCAAATTTATTT